TGACTTCTTATTAGTTCGGCATCATTAAAGTAAGTAAAAGCTGTTGACATATCATTAGTTCGGCATCATTAAAGTAAGTAAAAGTTGTTGACATATCATTAGTTCGGCATCATTAAAGTAAGTAAAAGTTGTTGACATATCATTAGTTCGGCATCATTAAAGTAAGTAAAAGTTGTTGACATATCATTAGTTCGGCATCATTAAAGTAAGTAAAAGTTGTTGACATATCATTAGTTCGGCATCATTAAAGTAAGTAAAAGTTGTTGACATATCATTAGTTCGGCATCATTAAAGTAAGTAAAAGTTGTTGACATATCATTAGTTCGGCATCATTAAAGTAAGTAAAAGTTGTTGACATATCATTAGTTCGGCATCATTAAAGTAAGTAAAAGTTGTTGACATATCATTAGTTCGGCATCATTAAAGTAAGTAAAAGTTGTTGACTTCTTATTAGTTCGGCATCATTAAAGTAAGTAAAAGTTCATTAGTTCGGCATCATTTGTAAAAGTTGTTGACATATCATTAGTTCGGCATCATTAAAGTAAGTAAAAGTTGTTGACATATCATTAGTTCGGCATCATTAAAGTAAGTAAAAGTTGTTGACATATCATTAGTTCGGCATCATTAAAGTAAGTAAAAGTTGTTTCATTAGTTCGGCATCATTAAAGTAAGTAAAAGTTGTTGACATATCATTAGTTCGGCATCATTAAAGTAAGTAAAAGTTGTTGACATATCATTAGTTCGGCATCATTAAAGTAAGTAAAAGTTGTTGACTTCTTATTAGTTCGGCATCATTAAAGTAAGTAAAAGTTGTTGACATATCATTAGTTCGGCATCATTAAAGTAAGTAAAAGTTGTTGACATATCATTAGTTCGGCATCATTAAAGTAAGTAAAAGTTGTTGACATATCATTAGTTCGGCATCATTAAAGTAAGTAAAAGTTGTTGACATATCATTAGTTCGGCATCATTAAAGTAAGTAAAAGTTGTTGACATATCATTAGTTCGGCATCATTAAAGTAAGTAAAAGTTGTTGACATATCATTAGTTCGGCATCATTAAAGTAAGTAAAAGTTGTTGACATATCATTAGTTCGGCATCATTAAAGTAAGTAAAAGTTGTTGACATATCATTAGTTCGGCATCATTAAAGTAAGTAAAAGTTGTTGACTTCTTATTAGTTCGGCATCATTAAAGTAAGTAAAAGTTGTTGACATATCATTAGTTCGGCATCATTAAAGTAAGTAAAAGTTGTTGACATATCATTAGTTCGGCATCATTAAAGTAAGTAAAAGTTGTTGACATATCATTAGTTCGGCATCATTAAAGTAAGTAAAAGTTGTTGACATATCATTAGTTCGGCATCATTAAAGTAAGTAAAAGTTGTTGACTTCTTATTAGTTCGGCATCATTAAAGTAAGTAAAAGTTGTTGACATATCATTAGTTCGGCATCATTAAAGTAAGTAAAAGTTGTTGACATATCATTAGTTCGGCATCATTAAAGTAAGTAAAAGTTGTTGACATATCATTAGTTCGGCATCATTAAAGTAAGTAAAAGTTGTTGACATATCATTAGTTCGGCATCATTAAAGTAAGTAAAAGTTGTTGACATATCATTAGTTCGGCATCATTAAAGTAAGTAAAAGTTGTTGACATATCATTAGTTCGGCATCATTAAAGTAAGTAAAAGTTGTTGACATATCATTAGTTCGGCATCATTAAAGTAAGTAAAAGTTGTTGACATATCATTAGTTCGGCATCATTAAAGTAAGTAAAAGTTGTTGACATATCATTAGTTCGGCATCATTAAAGTAAGTAAAAGTTGTTGACATATCATTAGTTCGGCATCATTAAAGTAAGTAGAAGTTGTTGACATATCATTAGTTCGGCATCATTAAAGTAAGTAAAAGTTGTTGACATATCATTAGTTCGGCATCATTAAAGTAAGTAAAAGTTGTTGACATATCATTAGTTCGGCATCATTAAAGTAAGTAAAAGTTGTTGACTTCTTATTAGTTCGGCATCATTAAAGTAAGTAAAAGTTGTTGACATATCATTAGTTCGGCATCATTAAAGTAAGTAAAAGTTGTTGACATATCATTAGTTCGGCATCATTAAAGTAAGTAAAAGTTGTTGACATATCATTAGTTCGGCATCATTAAAGTAAGTAAAAGTTGTTGACATATCATTAGTTCGGCATCATTAAAGTAAGTAAAAGTTGTTGACATATCATTAGTTCGGCATCATTAAAGTAAGTAAAAGTTGTTGACATATCATTAGTTCGGCATCATTAAAGTAAGTAAAAGTTGTTGACATATCATTAGTTCGGCATCATTAAAGTAAGTAAAAGTTGTTGACTTCTTATTAGTTCGGCATCATTAAAGTAAGTAAAAGTTGTTGACATATCATTAGTTCGGCATCATTAAAGTAAGTAAAAGTTGTTGACATATCATTAGTTCGGCATCATTAAAGTAAGTAAAAGTTGTTGATCATTAAAGTAAATATCATTAGTTCGGCATCATTAAAGTAAGTAAAAGTTGTTGACATATCATTAGTTCGGCATCATTAAAGTAAGCAAAAGTTGTTGACATATCATTAGTTTGGCATCATTAAAGTAAGTAAAAGTTGTTGACATATCATTAGTTCGGCATCATTAAAGTAAGTAAAAGTTGTTGACTTCTTATTAGTTCGGCATCATTAAAGTAAGTAAAAGTTGTTGACATATCATTAGTTCGGCATCATTAAAGTAAGTAAAAGTTGTTGACATATCATTAGTTCGGCATCATTAAAGTAAGTAAAAGTTGTTGACATATCATTAGTTCGGCATCATTAAAGTAAGTAAAAGTTGTTGACATATCATTAGTTCGGCATCATTAAAGTAAGTAAAAGTTGTTGACATATCATTAGTTCGGCATCATTAAAGTAAGTAAAAGTTGTTGACTTCTTATTAGTTCGGCATCATTAAAGTAAGTAAAAGTTGTTGACATATCATTAGTTCGGCATCATTAAAGTAAGTAAAAGTTGTTGACATATCATTAGTTTGGCATCATTAAAGTAAGTAAAAGTTGTTGACATATCATTAGTTCGGCATCATTAAAGTAAGTAAAAGTTGTTGACATATCATTAGTTCGGCATCATTAAAGTAAGTAAAAGTTGTTGACTTCTTATTAGTTCGGCATCATTAAAGTAAGTAAAAGTTGTTGATTTCTTATTAGTTCGGCATCATTAAAGTAAGTAAAAGTTGTTGACATATCATTAGTTCGGCATCATTAAAGTAAGTAAAAGTTGTTGACATATCATTAGTTCGGCATCATTAAAGTAAGTAAAAGTTGTTGACATATCATTAGTTCGGCATCATTAAAGTAAGTAAAAGTTGTTGACATATCATTAGTTCGGCATCATTAAAGTAAGTAAAAGTTGTTGACATATCATTAGTTCGGCATCATTAAAGTAAGTAAAAGTTGTTGATCATTAGTTCGGCATCATTAAAGTAAGTAGAAGTTGTTGACATATCATTAGTTCGGCATCATTAAAGTAAGTAAAAGTTGTTGACTTCTTATTAGTTCGGCAAGTAAAAGTTGTTGACATATCATTAGTTCGGCATCATTAAAGTAAGTAAAAGTTGTTGACATATCATTAGTTCGGCATCATTAAAGTAAGTAAAAGTTGTTGACATATCATTAGTTCGGCATCATTAAAGTAAGTAAAAGTTGTTGACTTCTTATTAGTTCGGCATCATTAAAGTAAGTAAAAGTTGTTGACATATCATTAGTTCGGCATCATTAAAGTAAGTAAAAGTTGTTGACATATCATTAGTTCGGCATCATTAAAGTAAGTAAAAGTTGTTGACATATCATTAGTTCGGCATCATTAAAGTAAGTAAAAGTTGTTGACATATCATTAGTTCGGCATCATTAAAGTAAGTAAAAGTTGTTGACATATCATTAGTTCGGCATCATTAAAGTAAGTAAAAGTTGTTGACATATCATTAGTTCGGCATCATTAAAGTAAGTAAAAGTTGTTGACATATCATTAGTTCGGCATCATTAAAGTAAGTAAAAGTTGTTGACATATCATTAGTTCGGCATCATTAAAGTAAGTAAAAGTTGTTGACATATCATTAGTTCGGCATCATTAAAGTAAGTAAAAGTTGTTGACATATCATTAGTTCGGCATCATTAAAGTAAGTAAAAGTTGTTGACTTCTTATTAGTTCGGCATCATTAAAGTAAGTAAAAGTTGTTGACATATCATTAGTTCGGCATCATTAAAGTAAGTAAAAGTTGTTGACATATCATTAGTTCGGCATCATTAAAGTAAGTAAAAGTTGTTGACATATCATTAGTTCGGCATCATTAAAGTAAGTAAAAGTTGTTGACATATCATTAGTTCGGCATCATTAAAGTAAGTAAAAGTTGTTGACATATCATTAGTTCGGCATCATTAAAGTAAGTAAAAGTTGTTGACATATCATTAGTTCGGCATCATTAAAGTAAGTAAAAGTTGTTGACATATCATTAGTTCGGCATCATTAAAGTAAGTAAAAGTTGTTGACATATCATTAGTTCGGCATCATTAAAGTAAGTAAAAGTTGTTGACATATCATTAGTTCGGCATCATTAAAGTAAGTAAAAGTTGTTGACATATCATTAGTTCGGCATCATTAAAGTAAATAAAAGCTGTTGACATATCAATAGTTCGGCATCATTAAAGTAAGTAAAAGTTGTTGACATATCATTAGTTCGGCATCATTAAAGTAAGTAAAAGTTGTTGACATATCATTAGTTTGGCATCATTAAAGTAAGTAAAAGTTGTTGACATATCATTAGTTCGGTATCATTAAAGTAAGAAAAAGTTGTTGAAATATCCTTAGATTGGCATCATTAAAGTAAGTAAAAGTTGCTGACTTCTTATTAGTTCGGCATCATTAAAGTAAGTAAAAGTTGTTGACATATCATTAGTTCGGCATCATTAAAGTAAGTAAAAGTTGTTGACTTCTTATTAACCTGGTTCGCATCCTTCAGAACATAATCCTGTGATCTTTTCACAAGCTGTTCCATTCCAACATGAACCACGGGTTTGTGAGCAGTTGATCCCGAAGGTGAAGTTGTTACACTCTATAATCAAGATGGTACAATAATAAACAATCAGTTTCTGTAACCTAAGTTTAACTTATCAGTGATAAAGTCAGTTCCTGTTACCTTTAGTTTACCTTCATCAGTCATAATATCAGTTTCTATAACGTTAAGGTTAACCTACCAGTGATAAAATCATTTTCTGTAACCTTTAGTTTAACTTAACATCGATCAAATCAGTTTCTGTAAACTTTAGTTTGTCAGTGATAAAATCAGTTTCTCTAACCTTAAGTTTAACTTCCAGCGATAAAATCAGTTTATCCTTACTTTAGTTTAACTAATCAGCTGGAACAAAAGTTTCCATAAACTTTTCTTTTAACTTTACCACGATAAAATCAGTTTTCATAGTCTATATTTTTAACTTATCATTGAAAAATCAATTTTCCTTAACTTATGGTTTAATTTATCAATTATAAAACGAGTTTCATTAACCTTAAGTTTATCTTATCAGCGATAAAATCAGTTTCCGTTACCTTTAGTTTAACTAATCAGTGATTAAATCAGTTTCGGTAACGTAGAGTTAAACTTGTTTGGTATAAAATCAGTTTTTGTAACGTTTAGTTTAACCTATCAATGATAAATGTTTCGTAACCTTTAGTTTAATTTAATCAATGATAATATCAGTTTCTGTAACATTTAGTTTAATTCAATCAGTGATAAAATAAGTTTCTGTAACTTTTAGTTTAACTTATCAACTATAAAATCAGTTTCTGTTACCTTTAGCTTAACTTATTAGCGGTTAAATCAGTTCCCTCACCTTCAGTTTAACTAAACAGTGATAAAAGCAGTTTTATAGCTTTCATTTTAACTTATCATTGATAAAATCAGTTCCTGTAACCTATATTTAAAAATATTAATGATAAAATCAATTTTCTTTAACTTTTAGTCTAATTCATCAAATATAAAACGAATTTCATTAACCTTTAGTTTATCTTATCAGCGATGAAATCAGTTTCTGTAAACTTCAGTTTATCAGTGTTAAGATCAGTTTCCGTAACTAACTGATAGCTAAAAAATCAGTTTCTGTAACATTTAGTTTACCTCATCAGCTATACAATCAGATTCTGATTGACTTATCTTTGATAAAATCAGTTTCTTTTACTTTTAGTTTAAATTACTAGCGGACAAATCGGTTTCTTTAACCTTTAGATTAATTTATCAGTGATAAAATCAGTTTCTGTAACCATTAGTTTATTTTTTCTGGTATAAAATAAGTTTGTGTAACATTTCCTATCAGTCATACTTGTTTCGTAACCTGAAGTTTAACTTATCAACTCTAAAGTCTGTTTCTGTTACTTTTACTTTCTTTGATCAGCGATTGAATTAGTTTTCTTAATATTCTGTTTAACCTATCAGCTATCTAATTAGTTCCCGTTACCTTGATTGACTAATCAGGTATACAAACTTGTCTTGTTCCTATGTGACAACCGTTTTAAACTTGGTCATAGATGAGCATACACGCATTTGTATGTGTATTGTTTTGTCTATAATCTGTTTACCATATTGTCCCACTATTTTCGACCTTTACTTACATAGGATTATATATTGTAGCCGAAAAATTTGATCGATTCCGTACCATCTCAACACTTCGTATGTTAGTGGTTGTACCCTCTACACTGACCATTTGTCTGATCAAGGTGACCGATTCATCACCATTTATCTACGGTCACAAGAGGAATATTTCCTTGTTGAAGATACTGTACATCTGATCAGTTCTTAGCATATAAATGATATGAAAGTAATTAGTAAATAGTAGACAAACCTGTTAAGCAGTTGGGTTCCTGCCAACCTGGTTCGCATCCTTCAGAACATAATCCTGTGATCTTTTCACAAGCTGTTCCATTCCAACATGAACCACAGGTTTGTGAGCAGTTGATCCCGAAGGTGAAGTTGTTACACTCTATAATCAAGATGGTACAATAATAAACAATCAGTTTCTGTAACCTAAGTTTAACTTATCAGTGATAAAGTCAGTTCCCGTTACCTTTAGTTTACCTTCATCAGTCATAATATCAGTTTCTATAACGTTAAGGTTAACCTACCAGTGATAAAATCATTTTCTGTAACCTTTAGTTTAACTTAACATCGATCAAATCAGTTTCTGTAAACTTTAGTTTGTCAGTGATAAAATCAGTTTCTCTAACCTTAAGTTTAACTTCCAGCGATAAAATCAGTTTATCCTTACTTTAGTTTAACTAATCAGCTGGAACAAAAGTTTCCATAAACTTTTCTTTTAACTTTACCACGATAAAATCAGTTTTCATAGTCTATATTTTTAACTTATCATTGAAAAATCAATTTTCCTTAACTTATGGTTTAATTTATCAATTATAAAACGAGTTTCATTAACCTTAAGTTTATCTTATCAGCGATAAAATCAGTTTCCGTTACCTTTAGTTTAACTAATCAGTGATTAAATCAGTTTCGGTAACGTAGAGTTAAACTTGTTTGGTATAAAATCAGTTTTTGTAACGTTCAGTTTAACCTATCAATGATAAATGTTTCGTAACCTTTAGTTTAATTTAATCAATGATAATATCAGTTTCTGTAACCTTTAGTTTAATTCAATCAGTGATAAAATAAGTTTCTGTAACTTTTAGTTTAACTTATCAACTATAAAATCAGTTTCTGTTACCTTTAGCTTAACTTATTAGCGGTTAAATCAGTTCCCTCACCTTCAGTTTAACTAAACAGTGATAAAAGCAGTTTTATAGCTTTCATTTTAACTTATCATTGATAAAATCAGTTCCTGTAACCTATATTTAAAAATATTAATGATAAAATCAATTTTATTTAATTTTTAGTCTAATTCATTAAATATAAAACGAATTTCATTAACCTTTAGTTTATCTTATCAGCGATGAAATCAGTTTCTGTAAACTTCAGTTTATCAGTGTTAAGATCAGTTTCCGTAACTAACTGATAGCTAAAAAATCAGTTTCTGTAACATTTAGTTTACCTCATCAGCTATACAATCAGATTCTGATTGACTTATCTTTGATAAAATCAGTTTCTTTTACTTTTAGTTTAAATTACTAGCGGACAAATCGGTTTCTTTAACCTTTAGATTAATTTATCAGTGATAAAATCAGTTTCTGTAACCATTAGTTTAATTTTTCTGGTATAAAATAAGTTTGTGTAACATTTCCTATCAGTCATACTTGTTTCGTAACCTGAAGTTTAACTTATCAACTCTAAAGTCTGTTTCTGTTACTTTTACTTTCTTTGATCAGCGATTGAATTAGTTTTCTTAATATTCTGTCTAACCTATCAGCTATCTAATTAGTTCCCGTTACCTTGATTGACTAATCAGGTATACAAACTTGTCTTGTTCCTATGTAACAACCGTTTTAAACTTGGTCATAGATGAGCATACACGCATTTGTATGTGTATTGTTTTGTCTATAATCTGTTTACCATATTGTCCCACTATTTTCGACCTTTACATACATAGGATTATATATTGTAGCCGAAAAATTTGATCGATTCCGTACCATCTCAACACTTCGTATGTTAGTGGTTGTACCCTCTACACTGACCATTTGTCTGATCAAGGTGACCGACTCATCACCATTTATCTACGGTCACAAGAGGAATATTTCCTTGTTGAAGATACTGTACATCTGATCAGTTCTTAGCATATAAATGATATGAAAGTAATTAGTAAATAGTAGACAAACCTGTTAAGCAGTTGGGTTCCTGCCAACCTGGTTCGCATCCTTCAGAACATAATCCTGTGATCTTTTCACAAGCTGTTCCATTCCAACATGAACCACAGGTTTGTGAGCAGTTGATCCCGAAGGTGAAGTTGTTACACTCTATAATCAAGATGGTACAATAATAAACAATCAGTTTCTGTAACCTAAGTTTAACTTATCAGTGATAAAGTCAGTTCCCGTTACCTTTAGTTTACCTTCATCAGTCATAATATCAGTTTCTATAACGTTAAGGTTAACCTACCAGTGATAAAATCATTTTCTGTAACCTTTAGTTTAACTTAACATCGATCAAATCAGTTTCTGTAAACTTTAGTTTGTCAGTGATAAAATCAGTTTCTCTAACCTTAAGTTTAACTTCCAGCGATAAAATCAGTTTATCCTTACTTTAGTTTAACTAATCAGCTGGAACAAAAGTTTCCATAAACTTTTCTTTTAACTTTACCACGATAAAATCAGTTTTCATAGTCTATATTTTTAACTTATCATTGAAAAATCAATTTTCCTTAACTTATGGTTTAATTTATCAATTATAAAACGAGTTTCATTAACCTTAAGTTTATCTTATCAGCGATAAAATCAGTTTCCGTTACCTTTAGTTTAACTAATCAGTGATTAAATCAGTTTCGGTAACGTAGAGTTAAACTTGTTTGGTATAAAATCAGTTTTTGTAACGTTTAGTTTAACCTATCAATGATAAATGTTTCGTAACCTTTAGTTTAATTTAATCAATGATAATATCGGTTTCTGTAACCTTTAGTTTAATTCAATCAGTGATAAAATAAGTTTCTGTAACTTTTAGTTTAACTCATCAACTATAAAATCAGTTTCTGTTACCTTTAGCTTAACTTATTAGCGGTTAAATCAGTTCCCTCACCTTCAGTTTAACTAAACAGTGATAAAAGCAGTTTTATAGCTTTCATTTTAACTTATCATTGATAAAATCAGTTCCTGTAACCTATATTTAAAAATATTAATGATAAAATCAATTTTCTTTAACTTTTAGTCTAATTCATCAAATATAAAACGAATTTCATTAACCTTTAGTTTATCTTATCAGCGATGAAATCAGTTTCTGTAAACTTCAGTTTATCAGTGTTAAGATCAGTTTCCGTAACTAACTGATAGCTAAAAAATCAGTTTCTGTAACATTTAGTTTACCTCATCAGCTATACAATCAGATTCTGATTGACTTATCTTTGATAAAATCAGTTTCTTTTACTTTTAGTTTAAATTATTAGCAGGACAAATCGGTTTCTTTAACCTTTAGATTAATTTATCAGTGATAAAATCAGTTTCTGTAACCATTAGTTTAATTTTTCTGGTATAAAATAAGTTTGTGTAACATTTCCTATCAGTCATACTTGTTTCGTAACCTGAAGTTTAACTTATCAACTCTAAAGTCTGTTTCTGTTACTTTCTTTGATCAGCGATTGAATTAGTTTTCTTAATATTCTGTCTAACCTATCAGCTATCTAATTAGTTCCCGTTACCTTGATTGACTAATCAGGTATACAAACTTGTCTTGTTCCTATGTGACAACCGTTTTAAACTTGGTCATAGATGAGCATACACGCATTTGTATGTGTATTGTTTTGTCTATAATCTGTTTACCATATTGTCCCACTATTTTCGACCTTTACATACATAGGATTATATATTGCAGCCGAAAAATTTGATCGATTCCGTACCATCTCAACACTTCGTATGTTAGTGGTTGTACCCTCTACACTGACCATTTGTCTGATCAAGGTGACCGACTCATCACCATTTATCTACGGTCACAAGATGAATATTTCCTTGTTGAAGATACTGTACATCTGATCAGTTCTTAGCATATAAATAATATGAAAGTAATTAGTAAATAGTAGACAAACCTGTTAAGCAGTTGGGTTCCTGCCAACCTGGTTCGCATCCTTCAGAACATAATCCTGTGATCTTTTCACAAGCTGTTCCATTCCAACATGAACCACAGGTTTGTGAGCAGTTGATCCCGAAGGTGAAGTTGTTACACTCTATAATCAAGATGGTACAATAATAAACAATCAGTTTCTGTAACCTAAGTTTAACTTATCAGTGATAAAGTCAGTTCCCGTTACCTTTAGTTTACCTTAATCAGTCATAATATCAGTTTCTATAACGTTAAGGTTAACCTACCAGTGATAAAATCATTTTCTGTAACCTTTAGTTTAACTTAACATCGATCAAATCAGTTTCTGTAAACTTTAGTTTGTCAGTGATAAAATCAGTTTCTCTAACCTTAAGTTTAACTTCCAGCGATAAAATCAGTTTATCCTTACTTTAGTTTAACTAATCAGCTGGAACAAAAGTTTCCATAAACTTTTCTTTTAACTTTACCACGATAAAATCAGTTTTCATAGTCTATATTTTTAACTTATCATTGAAAAATCAATTTTCCTTAACTTATGGTTTAATTTATCAATTATAAAACGAGTTTCATTAACCTTAAGTTTATCTTATCAGCGATAAAATCAGTTTCCGTTACCTTTAGTTTAACTAATCAGTGATTAAATCAGTTTCGGTAACGTAGAGTTAAACTTGTTTGGTATAAAATCAGTTTTTGTAACGTTTAGTTTAACCTATCAATGATAAATGTTTCGTAACCTTTAGTTTAATTTAATCAATGATAATATCAGTTTCTGTAACCTTTAGTTTAATTCAATCAGTGATAAAATAAGTTTCTGTAACTTTTAGTTTAACTTATCAACTATAAAATCAGTTTCTGTTACCTTTACTTTAACTTATCAGCGATTAAATTAGTTTTTTAACATTCAGTTTAACCTGTCAACTATCTAATCAGTTCCCGTTACCTTGATTGACTAATCGAGTATCAATACGGCTTCTGTAGCCGTTATTTTAACTTATCATTGAAAAAATCAGTTCCAGTTACCTATATTTAAACGCATCAATGATAAAATTAATTTTCCTTAATTTTTAGTCTAATTTATCAATTATAAAACGAGTTTCATTAACCTTAAGTTTATCTTATCAGCGATAAAATAAGTTTCCGTTACCTTTAGCTTAACTTATTAGCGGTTAAATCAGTTCACTCACCTTCAGTTTAACTAAACAGTGATAAAAGCAGTCGTATAGCTTTCATTTTAACTTATCATTGATAAAATCAGTTCCTGTAACCTATATTTAAAAATATTAATGATAAAATCAATTTTCTTTAACTTTTAGTCTAATTCATCAAATATAAAACGAATTTCATTAACCTTTAGTTTATCTTATCAGCGATGAAATCAGTTTCTGTAAACTTCAGTTTATCAGTGTTAAGATCAGTTTCCGTAACTAACTGATAGCTAAAAAATCAGTTTCTGTAACATTTAGTTTACCTCATCAGCTATACAATCAGATTCTGATTGACTTATCTTTGATAAAATCAGTTTCTTTTACTTTTAGTTTAAATTACTAGCGGACAAATCGGTTTCTTTAACCTTTAGATTAATTTATCAGTGATAAAATCAGTTTCTGTAACCATTAGTTTAATTTTTCTGGTATAAAATAAGTTTGTGTAACATTTCCTATCAATCATACTTGTTTCGTAACCTGAAGTTTAACTTATCAACTCTAAAGTCTGTTTCTGTTACTTTTACTTTCTTTGATCAGCGATTGAATTAGTTTTCTTAATATTCTGTCTAACCTATCAGCTATCTAATTAGTTCCCGTTACCTTGATTGACTAATCAGGTATACAAACTTGTCTTGTTCCTATGTGACAACCGTTTTAAACTTGGTCATAGATGAGCATACACGCATTTGTATGTGTATTGTTTTGTCTATAATCTGTTTACCATATTGTCCCACTATTTTCGACCTTTACATACATAGGATTATATATTGCAGCCGAAAAATTTGATCGATTCCGTACCATCTCAACACTTCGTATGTTAGTGGTTGTACCCTCTACACTGACCATTTGTCTGATCAAGGTGACCGACTCATCACCATTTATCTACGGTCACAAGAGGAATATTTCCTTGTTGAAGATACTGTACATCTGATCAGTTCTTAGCATATAAATGATATGAAAGTAATTAGTAAATAGTAGACAAACCTGTTAAGCAGTTGGGTTCCTGCCAACCTGGTTCGCATCCTTCAGAACATAATCCTGTGATCTTTTCACAAGCTGTTCCATTCCAACATGAACCACAGGTTTGTGAGCAGTTGATCCCGAAGGTGAAGTTGTTACACTCTATAATCAAGATGGTACAATAATAAACAATCAGTTTCTGTAACCTTTAGTTTAACTTAATCAGTCCTAATATCAGTTTCTGTATCTTTAAGGTTTACCTACCAGTGATAAAATTATTTTCTGTAACCTTTAGTTTAACTAACCATCGATCAAATTAGTTTCTGTAAACTTTAGTTTGTCGGTGATAAAATCAGTTTCTCTTACCTTAAGTTTAACTTACTAGCTATAAAATCAGTTTATCCTTACTTTAGTTTAACTAATCAGCTTGAACAAAAGTTTTCATAAACTTTTCTTTACCTTAACAGTGATAAGCCGTAGTCTATGTTTTAACTTATCAGTTTAAAATCAATTTTCCTTAACTTTTAGTTCCATTTATCTATCATAAAACGAGTTCCATTAACCTTAACTTTATCTTATTAGCGATAAAAGCAGTTTCTATAAACTTTAGTTTATCAGAGATAAGATATGTTTCCTCAGCCTATACTTTAACTGATAGCTAAAAAATCAGTTTCTGTAACAATTAGTTGACCTCATCAGCTATACAATCAGATTCTGATTGACTAATCAGGTATAAAATCAGTTTCTGTTACCTTTAGTATAACTTACAATTAACCTTTATTTTAGCTTACTAGTAACCTTTAGCTTAACTTACTAGCTATAAAATAAGTTTCTGTAACCTTTAGTTTTACTGAATCAGTGATAAAATCAGTTTCTGTAACCTTTAGTTTAATTCAATCAGTGATAAAATCAGGTTCTGTAACCTTTAGTTTAACTCATGAACATAATTTCAGTTTCTGTAACCTATACTTTATTAGGTTAGATCATTCGTAACCTTTAGATCAGTGGTAACATCAATATCCTTCACGTTTTATTCAACTTTGATTCAATCAGTTTTTATCAACAACACTTTCCTATTGGCCAGCAATATAGCAACAACACCCTCTGATTGACATTGACAAGCAGTCTGTTAACAACACCTTCCTATTGACATTGACAGACAGTCTAATAACAACACCTTCCTACTGACATTGACAGGCAGTCCGTTAACAACACCTTCCTATTGACATTGACAGGCAGTCTGTTAACAACACCTTCCTATTGACATTGACAGGCAGTCTGTTAACAACACCTTCCTATTAACATTGACAGGCAGTCTGTTAACAACACATTTCTATTGACATTGACAGGCAGTCTGTTAACAACACCTTCCTTTTGACATTGACAAGCAGTCTGTTAACAACACCTTTCTATTGACATTGACAGGCAGTCTGTAAACAACACCTTCCCTTTGACATTGACAGGCAGTCTGTTAACAACACCTTCCTATTGATATTGACAGACAGCCTGTTAACAACACCTTCCTTTTGACATTGACAGGCAGTCTTTTAACAACACCTTCCTATTAACATTGACAGGTAGTCTGTTAATAACACCTTCCTATTGACATTGACAGGCAGTCTGTTAACAACACCTTCCTACTGACATTAACAAGCAGTCTGTTAACAACTCATTCCTACTGACATTGACAGGCAGTCTGTTAACAACACCTTCCTATTGACATTGACAGGCAGTCTGTTAACAACACCTTTCTAATGGCAAGCAATTTATCAACAACACCTTTCTATCGACAAGCTGTCTATTATCATCACGTACTTTCATTGCAATATGGTCCCAGGTAGCCGGCATTACAACCTAGCACACAAGTAGCATTGGAGAAGCATAATTCATCGGTGCACTGTGCCGAGCAAGACAAATTACAGTTCTCTCCATACAGCCCCGGCGTACAACCTAAAACAAATTGTGCTGTAAGAAACTACATATCGATATTTATTTTGCTTATCTTATTGACTCAAAACGTAATTTCAGAAGTTTGTATCTTTGGGTAAATAAACATTCATATCTCAGAAGGGAATTTGTATCTTCGGGTAAATTAACCTTCATATTTCACGAGGGCGTTGGTATCTTCGGGGAAATAAACTTTCATATTTCAGGAGGGCCTTTGTATCTTCGGGTAAATAAACATTCATATTGCAGGAGGGCGTTTGTATCTTCAGATTAATTAACCTTCATATTGCAGGAGGGAGTTTGTATCTTCTGGTAAATAAACATTCATATTTCAAGAGGCCATTTATATCTTCAGATTAATTAACCTTCATATTGCAGGAGGGAGTTTGTATCTTCGAGTAATTAACCTTCATATTGCAGGAGGGAGTTTTTATCTTCGGGTAAATAAACCTTCATATTTCAGGAGGGCCTTTGTATCTTCTGGTAAATAAACATTCATATTTCAAGAGGCCATTTATATCTTCAGATTAATTAACCTTCATATTGCAGGAGGGCGTTGGTATCTTCGGGGAAATAAACCTTCATATTGCAGGAGGGAGTTTGTATCTTCGGGTAAATAAACATTCATATTTCAAGAGGCGATTTATATCTTCGAGTAAATTAACCTTCATATTGCAGGAGGGCGTTGGTATCTTCGGGGAAATAAACCTTCATATTTCAGGAGGGCCTTTGTATCTTCGGGTCAATAAACCTTCATATTGCAGGAGGGCGTTTGTATCTTCAGATTAATTAACCTTCATATTGCAGGAGGGAGTTTGTATCTTCGGGTAAATAAACATTCATATTTCAAGAGGCCATTTATATCTTCAGATTAATTAACCTTCATATTGCAGGAGGGCGTTGGTATCTTCGGTGAAATAAACCTTCATATTGCAGGAGGGAGTTTGTATCTTCGAGTAATTAACCTTCATATTGCAGGAGGGAGTTTGTATCTTCGGGTAAATAAACCTTCATATTTCAGGAGGGAGTTTGTATCTTCGGGTAAATAAACATTCATATTTTAGGAGGCCATTTATATCTTTGAGTAAATTAACCTTCATATTGCAGGAGGCCGTTGGTATCTTCGGGTAAATAAACCTTCATATTACAGGAGGCCATTGATATCTTCGGGTAAATTAACCTTCATATTGCAGGAGGGAGTTTGTATCTTCGGGTAAATAAACATTCATATTCCAAGAGGCCATTTATATCTTCGAGTAAATTAACCTTCATATTGCAGGAGGGAGGTTGTATCTGCGGGTAAATAAACATTCATATTTCAGGAGGGAGTTTGTATCTTCGAGTAAATAAACATTCATATTTCAAGAGGACATTTATATCTGCAGATTAATTAACCTTCATATTGCAGGAGGGAGCTTGCATCTTCGGGTAAATAAATATTCATTTTTTAAGAGGCCATTGATATCTTCGAGTAAATTAACCTTCATATTGCAGGAGGGCGTTTGTATCTTCAGATTAATTAACCTTCATATTGCAGGAGGGAATTTGTATCTTCGGGTAAATAAACATTCATATTTCAAGAGGCCATTCATATCTTCGAGTAAATTAACCTTCATATTGCAGGAGGGCGTTGGTATCTTCGGGTAAATAAACCTTCATATTTCAGGAGGGAGTTTTTATCTTCGGGTAAATAAACCTTCGTATTTCAGGAGGGCCTTTGTATCTTCTGGTAAATAAACATATTTCAAGAGGCCATTTATATCTTCAGATTAATTAACCTTCATATTGCAGGAGGGCGTTGGTATCTTCGGGGAAATAAACCTTCATATTGCAGGAGGGCCTTTGTATCTTCGGGGAAATAAACCTTCATATTGCAGGAGGGCCTTTGTATCTTCGGGGAAATTAACCTTCATATTGCAGGAGGGAGTTTGTATCTTCGGGTAAATAAACATTCATATTTCAAGAGGCGATTTATATCTTCGAGTAAATTAACCTTCATATTGCAGGAGGGCGTTGGTATCTTCGGGTAAATAAACCTTCATATTTCAGGAGGGAGTTTGTATCTTCGGGTAAATAAACATTCATATTTTAGGAGGCCATTTATATCTTTGAGTAAATTAACCTTCATATTGCAGGAGGGCGTTGGTATCTTCGGGTAAATAAACCTTCATATTACAGGAGGCCATTGATATCTTCGGGTAAATTAACCTTCATATTGGAGGAGGGCGTTTGTATCTTCAGATTAATTAACCTTCATATTGCAGGAGGGAGTTTGTATCTTCGGGTAAATAAACATTCATATTCCAAGTGGCCATTTATATCTTCGAGTAAATTAACCTTCATATTGCAGGAGGGCGTTTGTATCTTCAGATTAATTAACCTTCATATTGCAGGAGGGAGGTTGTATCTGCGGGTAAATAAACATTCATATTTCAGGAGGGAGTTTGTATCTTCGGGTAAATAAACATTCATATTTCAAGAGGACATTTATATCTGCAGATTAATTAACCTTCATATTGCAGGAGGGAGCTTGCATCTTCGGGTAAATAAACATTCATTTTTTAAGAGGCCATTGATATCTTCGAGTAAATTAACCTTCATATTGCAGGAGGGCGTTTGCATCTTCAGATTAATTAACCTTCATATTGCAGGAGGGAATTTGTATCTTCGGGTAAATAAACATTCATATTTCAAGAGGCCATTTATATCTTCAGATTAATTAACCTTCATATTGCAGGAGGGCGTTGGTATCTTCGGGGAAATAAACCTTCATATTGCAGGAGGGAGTTTGTATCTTCGGGTAAATAAACCTTCATATTTCAGGAGGGCCGATTTATATCTTCTGGTAAATTAACCTTCATACCTTCATATTGCAGGAGGGCGTTGGTATCTTCGGGTAAATAAACCTTCATATTTCAGGAGGGGTTTGATTTATAAACCTTCATATTGCAGGAGGGCGTATCTTTAAATATCTTAAATTAACCTTCATATTGCAGGAGGGAGCTTGTATCTTCGGGTAAATAAACATTCATATTTTAGGAGGCCATTTATATCTTTGAGTAAATTAACCTTCATATTGCAGGAGGGCGTTGGTATCTTCGGGTAAATAAACCTTCATATTACAGGAGGCCATTGATATCTTCGGGTAAATTAACCTTCATATTGGAGGAGGGCGTTTGTATCTTCAGATTAATTAACCTTCATATTGCAGGAGGGAGTTTGTATCTTCGGGTAAATAAACATTCATATTCCAAGATGCCATTGATATCTTCGAGTAAATCAACCTTCATATTGCAGGAGGGCGTTTGTATCTTCAGATTAATTAACCTTCATATTGCAGGAGGGAGTTTGTATCTTCGGGTAAATAAACATTCATATTTCAAGAGGACATTTATATCTTCGAGTAAATTAACCTTCATATTGCAGGAGGGCGTTGGTATCTTCGGGTAAATAAACCTTTATATTTCAGGAGGGAGTTTGTATCTTCAGATTAATTAACCTTCATATTGCAGGAGGGAGCTTGTATCTTCGGGTAATAAACCTTCATATTTCTTAAGGACATATGTATCTTCGGGTAAATTAACCTTCATATTTCCCAGCAAACATTACTATTAATTCATAATATAGCATTGATTTATACTAGAAAACACAACAATGGTTTTGTTCATAGAATAATACATTAATCATATGATGAAAATTGAAAATACGTTTAAAAACTAACGCAAAATCGACAAATAAAATCAAACCGAACATGTCTCATGTCATAAAGGAATTAGTTGTCTTTATTGCTATTTCTTCTAGAATGTTTCAGCAATATAAAACCGGAGTTATAAGCCTGTAATCGTTATTGCGTACATTTCGGATGAAGGTGTAGGAATCGAAGACCAACTGAATGTTTCCCGACGGCTAGTACGGCTAAACAATAGCACATAAACATATATTATTGAATATGTATGATGTCGAACTTCCTAAAATATCTATAGATTTTTTCTGGTTTATCCAAAAATACTCTTCAAATATACTGCGAATCGTTACACACCACTACAATTGTTAAGCTTACTGAAAGCTTCAGGGACGAAAGTTTCACATCGATATACATTTGTATCTGTGTTTCTTTTTCAGAAACATCAATATCCAAAGAAAGGTTTGAAAAAAAGCCTTACCGATGACTTCTACTTCAGACAACTGTACAACAGCATGTTTGCTGTATTTCCCGGGCTTTTGAGTTATGTTTTGTCTGTCGATTGATATCGTGACATATCTGCCTACTGTTTCACACTTACGTTATTCGGTAATGCTGAAGATCAGTAATAAAAGATAACTACATAACTCACCTTCTATAACGAACGTCTTAAAATAAATAGATTGACTGTAATAAACATAACTACGAAGCAATTGTCTGTGTCAATTAGCAGTTTACCACTAATGATACAGACTCTATAAACTAAAGTAATGATACAGACACTATAACGTACAGTAATGATACAGGTTCTTTTAACTACAGCAATGATACAGACTCTATCAATTACAGAAATGATACAGACTCTATAAACTACAGTAATGTTACAGACTCTATCAACTACAGTAATGATACCGACTCTATCAGCTACAGTAATGATACAGACTCTATTAACTACAGCAATGATACAGACTTAATAAATGATATAGACTCTATAAACAACAGTAATGATACAGACTCTATTAACTACAGTAATGATACGGACTCTGTAAACTACAACAATGATACAGACACTATAAACTACAGTAATGATAAAGACTCTATAAACTACAGTAATGATTCAGACTCTATCAACTACAGCTATGATACAGACTCTACCAACTACAGTAATGATACAGACTCTATCAACTACAGTAATGATACAGACTCTATAAACTACAGTAATGATACAGACTCTATAAACTACAGTAATGATACAGACTCTATAAACTACAGTAATGATACAGACACTATAAATACAGATACAGACTCTATAAACTACAGTAATGATTCAGACTCTATCAAGTACAGTAATGATACAGACTCTAATACAGAGGATACAGACTCTATCAACTACAGTAATGATACAGACTCTATCAATTACAGTAAGGATACAGACTCCATCAACTACAGTAATGATACAGACTCTATAAACTACAGTAATGATATAGACTCTATCAACTACAGTAATGATACAGACTCTATCAACTACAGTAATGATACAGACCTACAGTAATGATACAGACTCCTTCAACTACAGTAATGATACAGACTCTATAAAATACAGAAATGATAAAGACTCTATAAACTACAGTAATGATATAGACTCTATAAACTACAGTAATGATACAGACTCTATCAACTACAGTAATGATACAGACTCTATCAACTACAGTAATGATACAGACTCTATCAACTACAGTAATGATACAGACTCTATTAACTAAAGTAATGATACAGACTCTCTCAACTACATTAGTGATAAAGACTCTATTAACTACAGTTATGATACAGACTCTATAAACTACAGTAATGATATAGACTCTATCAACTACAGTAATGATATAGACTCTATCAACTACAGTAATGATACAGACTCTACTACAGTAATGATACAGACTCTATCAATTACAGTAAGGATACAGACTCCATCAACTACAGTAATGATACAGACTCTATAAACTACAGTAATGATAAAGACTATATCAACTACAGTAATGATACAGACTCTATCAACTACAGTAATGATACAGACTCTATCAACTACAGTAATGATATAGATTCTATCAACTACAGTAATGATACAGACTCTATCAACTACAGTAATGATACAGACTCTATCAATTACAGTAAGGATACAGACTCTATCAACTACAGTAATGATACAGATTCTATCAATTACAGTAAGGATACAGACTCCATCAACTACAGTAATGATACAGACTCTATTAACTACAGCAATGATACAGAATATAAATTACAGTAATGATACAACTACAACTACAGTAAGGATACAGACTCCATCAGCTACAGTAATGATACAGACTCTATTAACTACAATAATGATACAGACTCTATCAACTACAGTAAGGATACAGACTCCATCAGCTACAGTAATGATACAGACTCTATTAACTACAATAATGATACAGACTCTATCAACTACAGTAATGATACAGACTCTATCAACTACAGTAAAGATACACTACAGTAATGATACAGGTTCTATTAACTACAGCAATGATACAGACTCAATCAATTACAGTAATGATACAGACTCTATCAACTACAGCAATGATAGAGACCCTTTAAACTACAGTAATGATAAAGACTCTATAAACTACAGTAATGATACAGACTCTATTAACTACAACAATGATACAGACACTATCAACTACAGTAGTGATACAGACTCTACAAACTACAATAATGATACGGACTCTATAAACTACAGTAGTGATACAGACTCTTTCCACTACAGTAATGGTTCAGACTCTATAAACTAGAGCAATGATATAGACTCTATCAACTACAGTAATGATACAGACTCTATCAATTACAGTAAGGATACAGACTCCATCAACTACAGTAATGATACAGACTCTATCAACTACAGCAATGATACAGACTTAATAAACTACAGTAATGATACAGACTCTATAAAATACAACAATGATACAGACTCTATCAACTACAGCAATGATACAGACTGTATGAACCACAGTAATGATACAGACTCTATCAACTACAGTAATGATACAGACTCTATCAACTAAAGTAATGTTACAGACTCTATCAACTACAGTAATGATACAGACTCTATAAACTACAGTAATGATATAGAATCTATCAACTACAGTAATGATACAGACTCTATCAACTACAGTAATGATACAGACTCTATCAACTACAGTAATGATACAGACTCTATAAACTACAGTAATGATACAGACTCTATCAAATACAGTAATGATACAGACTCTATAAAATACAGTAATGATACAGACTCTATAAAATACAGTAATGATACAGACTCTATAAACTACAGTAATGATACAGACTCTATCAACTAGAGCAATGATACAGACTCTACCAACTACAGTAATGATACAGACTCTATAAAATACAGTAATGATAAAGACTCTATAAACTACAGTAATGATACAGACTCTATCAACTACAGTAATGATACAGACTCTATCAACTACAGTAATGATACAGACTCTATCAATTACAGTAAGGATACAGACTCTATTAACTACAGTTATGATATAGACTCTATAAACTACAGTAATGATACAGACTCTATTAACTACAGTAATGATACAGACTCTATCAATTACAGTAAGGACACAGACTCCATCAACTACAGTAATGATACAGACTCTATTAACTACAACAATGATACAGACACTATAAACTACAGCAATGATACAGACTCTATCAATTACAGAAATGATACAGACTCTATAAACTACAGTAATGTTACAGACTCTATCAACTACAGTAATGATACCGACTCTATAACGTACAGTTATCATACAGACTCTATCAACTACAGTAATGATACAGACTCTATCAACTACAGTAATGATACAGACTCTATTAACTAAAGTAAACAACTACAGTAATGATACAGACTCTATCAACTACAGTAATGATACAGACTCTATCAACTACAGTAATGATACAGACTCTATCAACTACAGTAATGATACAGACTCTATTAACTAAAGTAATGACACAGACTCTCTCAACTACATTAGTGATAGAGACTTAATAAACTACAGCAATGATACAGACTCTATCAACTACAGTAATGATACAGACTCTATCAACTACAGCATTGATACAGACTGTATGAACCACAGTAATGATACAGACTCTATCAACTACAGTAATGATACAGACTATATAAAATACAGTAATGATACAGACTCTATCAACTACAGTAATGATACAGACTCTATCAATTACAGTAAGGATACAGACTCTATCAACTACAGTAATGATACAGACTCTATAAACTACAGTAATGATATAGACTCTATAAACTACAGAAATGATACAGACTCTATAAACTACAGTAATGATATAGACTCTATAAACTACAGTAATGATTCATACTCTATCAACTACAGTAATGATAAAGACTCTGCCAACTACAGTAAGGATACAGACTCTATAGACTACAATAATAATACAGACTCTATCAATTACAGCAATGATACAGACTATAAATTACAGTAATGATACAGACTCTATTAACTACAGCAATGATACAGACTTAATAAACTACAGTAATGATACAGACTCCATAAACTACAGCAATGATACAGACTCTATAAACTAAAGTAATGATACAGACTCTATAAACTACAGTAATGATACAGACTCTATAAACTACAGTAATGATACAGACTCTATCAACTACAGTAATGATACAGACTCTATCAACTACAGTAATGATACAGACTCTATAAACTACAGTAATGATATAGACTCTATCAACTACAGTAATGATATAGACTCTATCAACTACAGTAATGATACAGACTCTATCAACTACAGTAATGATACAGACTCTATTAACTACAGTTATGATATAGACTCTATAAACAACAGTAATGATATAGACTCTATTAACTACAGTAATGATACAGACTCTATCAATTACAGTAAGGATACAGACTCCATCAACTACAGTAATGATACAGACTCTATTAACTACAGTAATGATACAGACACTATAAACTACAGTAATGATACAGACTCTTTCCACTACAGTAATGATACATATTCTATAAACTACAGTAATGATTCGGACTCTATCAACTAGAGCAATGATACAGACTCTACCAACTGCAGTAATGATACAGACTATATAAAATACAGTAATGATACAGACTCTATCAACTACAGTAATGATACAGACTCTATCAATTACAGTAAGGATACAGACTCCATCAACTACAGTAATGATACAGACTCTATTAACTACAATAATGATACAGACTCTATCAACTACAGTAAGGATACAGACTCTATCAACTACAGCAATGATACAGACTGTATGAACCACATTAATGATACACACTCTATAAACTACAGTAATGTTACAGACTCTATCAGCTACAGTAATGATACAGACTCTATAAACTAAACTAATGATACAGACTCTATAAAGTACAGTAATGATACAGACTCTATAAACTACAGTAATGATACAGACTCTATCA